GTTCTGCCCAGTACTAATTTAGAATTCCTGCATAATGGGGTGAAGTACTATGGCACATCCATCCACCTACTGTATAGTACCTGCCTGGGTTTCATGATGTGGTCTAGGATTTTAGTTTTTTATCTCACATCTGTCACTATGCAACCAGCTTCTTTTATTTTGAACCTATGGCCTGTTCATCATTTTGTGACTCGGATGTGAGGCATGTTGTCATTTCTGCAGGATTGGCTATTTTCAGCTGATTAGTCCCCTATCTTAAAACTGGACATTGATAGGATGATCTTGGTGGCTGGTTGATTAGCCTAAATAGTGTAGAGACACATGCAAATTGTAAGTTCACTGATAAAGAATCCACATTTGATATATGATCCCTGGTGTGTCAATACAAATTGCTCATTATTGTGCAGGTTTACTGTATATTGTTTTGAGGTATCTGACATATGCCTATAAATGCTGAACAAATGCTTTATATACTATGTATCAGTTCAATTGGTGAATCACTTCCTAATAATGAAAGTCCACATACATATATTTTGTAGCTTGAATCAAAAAATATTTAAACTGTAAGGGGCCAGACTGGCCTTGGTGATCCTCATGCACTGCATAATGTGACCACACCATCTGCACACATGAAATTGTGTTGATTTGGGATATTGACCCAGGTCTTTCAACATAATCTATTGAGAAAATCATCCAAATAATTTGCAATACAAGAACATTTGTCCTTATTGGGACTTTCAAATGGTAATCAACACAATATTTATAAACGAATACTGTATATTCTGCAGGTATATCTGAATGCATGTATATCTGCTCAAATTGCTTAAGAGTTGTGGCATTCATTGTCGCGCTTGATCTCCAAGTGTTATAAAGTATTCGTATAGTATTAATAAGGGTGAAATGTTCTTCTGTAAACCTCTGCCTCATACTCATACACACACAACTGGGCAATACACTCACCCCCCAGCCATTTTTCATTCTATTGTCAATGTTCATAGTTTTCTCACCATCTGCTCAAATGCATTTTCCATGCACAGTGCCATTTTGGCTGGGAAATAAATGCTCTCTAGTGAGAGAGACAGCAATTAAACCTACATTCCTTGTCTTCTGATGTTAACCAACGAGACTTCCTTTTGCAGTATGCAATACAAATTTAAATACTTTCAAACTACTTGCAGTGAACAATGCTACTTTTTATTATGGATATGGGCCAACATTTTCCCAAACTATTATATGAATTCTCTACATCATAGTGCAAATAAGTAGCTGAAAACATTTTGAATACAGCTGAGATTGCTCACAGCAAATTATTATTAGGAAAAAAATCCAGATAATTAGTTGAAAGACAAAGAAGTAGATAATTCTATAATCGTTTTATATAAAGAAGTTAAGAACAAACATATTCCAATGGTCCACTCTATAAAGAGTCTTTTTATTGAATTAGACATCTTTATTGCTAACTTTAATTGGTTTAGTAATAATAGAAACAATGAATTATTAGATTAGCTACCTGCACATACAGAGAATTCAAAATGCCTAGGAATGCAGTTATCATATGATGTACCCAAGGGCTTGATTAGCATTGATTCATTAGGAAGAATCTACTGCTGCATTGATACTCAGCTGTTCATTCAATTTTGACGATACTTGGATGCAGTTTGGAGAAAAAGAATATCAGCCAACTATATTTTGTAACACCCTGCAAACCACAGGTGTTTACCTAATGTGCAGCGCATAGAAAAGTTCTCTTGTAAGCAGTGCTCTGCATGCCAGCCTGAATTGCTCTGACCTAGAGCAATTTTTGAACAAATAAGATTGCCTTTGTGTCTGCATTTTTTCTGTTGACATTTGCTAAGCACTTGCGCTGCTGGTCTCGGAGATAAATGGAGGCCTAAAATGAGGCTGTATCATCTAGTGTCTTTAATGTTACCTTGAGAGAAAAAAATGTGTTCAGAGAACAATGAAATTCTCGCCTTTAGAAAAGGCTAAAATTGACTATTGGCTCTATTTGTAGATGTCAGTATGGTGAAAAGATTGTTTTCCATTTGATTCTTTATGTTCTAGTTTCTCTAATTCAGGGGAAAAGAAGCAATAGAGTAATGTTTTTTTTTCATCGTCGTATTCATAAATTTAAGAATTATTCATGGGATTTTACAAATCGCTTTAGAGGTTGTCTTCAAAAGTGGATGTCAGAACTGATTAGTGGCCTGACTTGACATGCTGTATGTTTTTTTTCCATTTATTTTCTATCATACTGTTATTGTTCTTTCTTTAATTATGCTCTTATTCCTATTTTGTGAGACTTACAACAATTCAAAAAAAAGCACGAACGCTTACACTAGCAAGCCTCAGTCTGGAATATGTCTTCAGCTAGGCTTTTTACACTGCATGACATGTTTACTTTTTCAGTGAGAGAGACAGTTTTTAAATAGTAATCTAAAGCATCTTGGGCTTTCCCTATACAAAGTGCTTAACTAAACAGTGCCCTCCAAAGTTACAGGGTACATAAACAAGGTGATGTTCTTTGAATCATCTGCAATTCCTCTCTTTCTTCACTCTTTAACTTTTCCATTACTATGGTGGAAGTTCATCTTGCCCCCAGCTGTCTGTAAAATTGTTTTAAATGTCTCCTGATACTGTACTTGTAAGCAAAGTTTGACTGGGGTAATAGCTGTGTTACATCTGGCTCACCCCTCTATAATGAGGTTTTTAACTAAATTTCAGGAGTCATAAAATTTTGCTAATCCTTCATCTCTACTGCTTGGATTTGTGATTCTCTGTGATGTTACTTCTTCAAATCCGAGAAAAAACACATTAAGCCCCTCTCCCTGGCATTTATTTATCTTTTGTATCCCTCCCTCACTCCATCTCCACCTTCGGAGCTACCCCTTGGTTAGTTCTTCACTCACTCAGCATGGGGGTCATAACTTCCTCTTCCTCTGGCCAGGTTGTTGGCCCTCAGTCAAACAGGATAAAAAAAAAAACTCTTTATGCATGACTTTTCAATACACATCCACAGCAATTTTGTTTTTTTGATCAGGTGCTACCATTCATTGTGAAATACAGTATGATGTAATTAATGATGGCAGCAGTAGAATTGGTTTTGAAGTTCATAGAAACATGTACTGTAGCACGACAGTGACTCACAATATACAGCCAATGCAGCTCAACAGTTCATCAGTACCAAAAAAAAAAGAAGTGGAGCACCTTTGATTTGATAAGTCAGTCTTCAGATTTAAATCTGGTTGAGCGTGCATTTTACTGTACACGCCGTAGAAGAATTTGAAGTCTGAACATTCCAAGAGTAGGAAAGAATTCAAAGTGGCTGCAGTAAAAAAAAAATCAAATAACTCCTCAAAGAGCTCAGTGGTTTGCACACCGCATGCAGTTACTACTTCAAAAATATATCAATTTTAATACTATTACTCCCTGGCATTTATTTAAAGTGAATATGTCCCAATACATTTGGTCAATTTGATTTCAGAGCTCAAAGAATGCTTTTGTGGCAATATGATTAAAAAAACATTTTTGTATTTATCATTCAAACAGTCTCATATGATATACAGTACTGTATGAAATATGATCTTAAATACAAATTGCTTGACAGTAAAGCAAAAATAATTATTGTTACTGTCGAATTTGTTGTCCTAATATTTTGGGAGGGCACTGCAAATCATCGTGTAACCACATTCCATTCCCTTTTTCATAAAATATAATGCTTTATGATTCCAGACCTATGCAGATTAATATGAGATGGAGTGTAATTGTTCTCATGTTGGTCCTCTATATGTGGCCACAGTGTCCATTTTAATTCTCAGCTTATATAATATTCCTAATAGGATGTAACAAAATGTAAAACTGAGTATCACCTACTACTACAGTATGTGAATAACAAAAGGCCGCAGTATGCATTAATTGGTACTTCCTGTGTTATACAGCTCTATCTTGGTTTTGCTTCCTTTATTAATTATAAAGCCCAGCCAGGGAAATGATAGCATGGTTGACATCTTCTAAGTATTTCACTTGCATTGTCTGCTACATTCATTGCATTGCAGCACCTTTCTTCTACAAATCCACATTGTAATATCTATTATGGTGTGGTCAAAGGATAATTTATTGTCAAATAAAAAAATAGGTCAACACTAATGTCACTTGATGATCAACCACCCAGGTTTAATAAAACATCTCGGTGGTGTGCATTCCTGCACAGCGTTTGGTATTTTAGTAGGACAACCTGGCTACAGCACTAGTGTAATTACCCGGCTGTCAGGGTGATAAGTGGGATTAATGGCAGCCTGATGCACTTTAGTCTGCAGAGAGTTTAGAGAATTGCAAGATGGGATTATTACAGGAGCCTGCCTGTAGTGGGTCTACTCACGGCACTAAAAAAATTCTACAATTTACTACTGCATCAACCTGCCTCATTAACATCTGACATTTCAACAGCTGTTTATTTGTGATCCAGTTCAAGAATAAAACTGAATAAATTGGTCAGGACCTATACCAGGCCTCTCTGTTATGCACTTGTCATATGATATTCACATGGACCAACAGAATATTGCACATCTTTTTATTTCGTATGAAGATTTAATTAGGTTGAGCTATTTATTATTTAAAATGAGTATGTCATTGTCAGCCAATGTGGTAGCCATTATGTAGTCATCATTATTTATAGTGTTATTACTCTTCAAGGCAGTCATTATAAAGACATCCCCCTCCATGTAACAAACATGAGCTGGCATCATTATTTGACTGCTGCTTCCTCATTTGAGTTACAATAAGGCACAAGCAGGATTAAAAAAAAGTGTGCATTTTCTCAATTAATTTTATGGTTCTTTGTGAGAGTATGACTTGGCCATACATTCTGAGAATCTTTTTGTCTGTTGTATTAGCGGGTTTGTAAGAAAGTCACTTAGTTTGTTAGAACAGGAAGATTCTCTCCCCTCTGTCTTAATCAGATGGTTTTCAAATGTGATCTGTCAAATGTTTTTGACTTGTAGGTGTCTTAAATGTGCAGACGCCCCATGTCAGAAAAGCTGTCCAACAAATCTGGATGTTAAATCCTTCATCACAAGCATTGCTAACAAGGTAAAGTCTGTTTTTATATTCAAAATATTTAAAATATTCTGGCAATTTATTTTTTTTCCAGCAGTACTGACTGTAATAGGATTAATACGTTGCTGTTTTGTTGGACTTCATTCTGGGAGTGTTGAATTAAAACCTGGTACAAAGAAAATTTTAAAAAATCAATTTCTTTTCAAATTAATCGGTTACTTGATTGTATTGTATGTATCGTGTCCATGTCCTCAAATAAACCGTAAAGACATAATTAATCCCTGGACAGTTGAGAATAGTGTTTTTTTGGACAAAATGATATGTATTTTTGGCTTTGAGCTGGATCATGTGTGCGTGTGCAGTATGTATATCAACAAGGATGCAGAGGGCTTGACATAATTGGTTTCTCTTTCAATTTGTATGCAGGTGCCAATATATTTTCAGAGAAACTCTTTCAGATATCACACTACAGTAATTACAATACAGTAAAAGAAGACCCATAAATACTTGTTAAAAGACTTCCTCATCAGCAATCTTTTAGAATAATGTTGTAACATTTGCCCAAATCTTGTACAGTATATCTAAAATGTTTTGCTGTATAATGTCCTTATGCCCTAAAGTAGAACATTCAAGGTAGTTAAGTATAAATACCATAACAAGACATCAACTGTACAATTGTATTAAATAGTAATATAAATCCTCTAATTCAGAGGTACAGTAGATCAGCAAGTTTATTAGCATACTGAATGAAAATGAAAGTAACATGCAGTATTATTATGGTGATCTGATTGGCATTTAACTATGTTGCTCGAAGGAATAACAGAAATAAGGAATAAGCACAGCATAATAAAATAACATGTCTTGATAACATGGCCCTTGGTGTCCAATTGACTAGACCTCAAAATAAACACAAAATGTTTAAGAATGTAACCAAATTCTTCTGAATGGAGAGTGGGTTTAAGTTTAGATTTACCTGTAGTCTATGTATTCTGGGTTTTTTATATACCTTGACATCAACAAAGAGCTTCTCTTAATGAAATGATTAGTTGTTAACATTTTTACAACATGCTTGCAATTTGTTTGCTCTTCAAACCTTCAGTCTAACATTTTATAGAGTGCAAATTAACAAGTCTTCAGGATTTTTAAATCTTAATGTTAAGTGTCTTGTTGTAGTGAAACTCTTCAAATGTGTAAATGACTGTTAAATGTACAGTAAATGCTGAAGTGCATTATAAAAGCAGCAAAGAATTTAAATTCTTACTTAGAGTTTTATGACTCACTCTGTGCTGTTTAGTAGTATTCAGATTTAGTAGGCATCCTTTTTATTGGGAGGTCAAATCCATTTCTGATTTTTAAAGAGCTGGGTGAACAAAGAAGAAAAAAGGTTCTGATATGCTTTTAAAAATCTCTAATTTTTATGATTGCTTCTTCTAAAAAAAAGAACAACAGAATGTGTCCTCTTGATCAGTTAAAATATAGATTTGTCAGTTAATTAAGGTGTATTAATTTCTCTTCTTTAATAAAGTAAAATTAAAGGATTTTGGAACACCTGTAAACCTAGCTTGTCAACCTTCATACTGGAGAAAAGTGTCTTATGATTTTCATTAAGATATGCATTCAATGTTATAGGATTTTCGATTGTTGTGGGTAAATAAGGTCCATTAATCATTTTATGAAATTTAAGCAAGTAACCTGGGTTCACAATGGATTGTAATTTTGTTATTTATTATTAACATTCAAAACCATGACTCTGAGTCTTAACTCGATGTAATCCTATACAACTAGAAACAAGTCTCTAGAAAGGACAGTTTGGACTGCACATACTTAAATGTTTTATTCAGCTGTGATTTTACCACTTCTTAATCACAGTGTAATATTTCAATTAGAATGACAAAAAAAATATCACTTCTTAATAACATAGTATCTTTAACACCAGACCTCCAAGTAGGATAAATGCAATGTTTTAAAATTCTAAAAACCTTTAAAACTCTAAATACAATTGTAGGTGATCCATGGTAGAATGCATGTCATATTGCTGTCGATTACACTTCAATTAAGCTGTTATTTGCCATGCTTTTTAAATTATTTGTTAAATTTGTTAAATACCATTCAAAATTGAAATCCAATTGAATTCATGTGCATTTCACCAAATTTCCATTTCCATGAACAATACACTGTGATCACAAATAAGTAATAGAAATTAACTGAAAATTCAATTTCTAAGATACTGTATTTCAGTTTTAAAGAGGGTGTAATTTAATAAATTCTGAATATTTAAATGGTTAAGTCTGAATCTGTGTTTGGATCAAGGTAGAGTTAAGGTTAGGTTTAAGGCCAGGTTGAGTTAAGACAAGGGTTAGCCCTAAATTAGAGTTAAATCTTGGGATTTAAGGTTAAAACTAAAGGTTAGCTCTCAATCTAATGTCGAGTTTAGGTTTATGGGGAAGGATTGGTTTAGATCATTGAAGACTGGTAGAAGATGCTATTCTAGTTTTATAATTTTGTCTTCTGACGTCATTCTGGAGTCCTGGAATCCCTGTGAAATAACTCAAGCAGAAAGTGTAATCATGGCAACTCTCAACATGGGAACTCTCAGCTTGGAGTGATCTTCGATCCTTCCTGCCCTGTCAGAAGGTAACTCTTTAGTTAATTTGTGTCAGAGTTCAGCTCCGATACCTCTCAATTTGCAACTGTCCATGCTTTGGGACATCTAAGCACAGATCTGACACGTACTCATTGACATGAAAAATATACTGTACCATGTGCATTTGAAATGAAATGATTTTAAAGACAGTCACTGTTTTTACATTTAAACAGAAATAAAATACAGATTTGCTCGTGCTTTGGTTCACTGCTGACGATCTGCACACGTTTTGATTTCCAGTGTCGCTTGCTCAAACATTCAACAAAACATCTTCTCAGAAAAGAGGAGAAAAATGTTTGAGAAAATCGTATGCCAAACTCCAAAAATCTTGGTAATTCTAGATGAGGTTACAGGTACAAGTACGGGAAGTAGAGGTGGTGTCTTGGTGGAAATCATGAAAGAACAAACACAGAATGGAAGAAATATGTTTTAATTATCAAGACAATATGCCTTTGTGCCATTGATTTGTCAAAGTGTCCTCCTGTGGACTCGCCAACAGTGCAGTGATGAATCAAGGTTTTGTGTCGACCATCCTGGTGGATATCAGCAGAAGATGTGACATGCAGAAGGATACGCCAATCATTTGGGACAGCCCTATCAATATGGAGGCCCAATTGTGGTATGGGCCCAATAATGGTATGGGCATGAGTGTCGACTCACTACATAGCTGAACCTGTAGTGATTAATGGCACCCTGACGTCAGTCAGAGTCCTGGAATCTCACTAACTGTGGACTTATCCCAAACTGACAACATTCCAACAGGACAACACATGCCAGCATGCCATATTATAACAATTCAGGTGGGTAGGTGCTCCAGCATGCGTAGGCTGCAAAGGAAAAAGTAATAGGTTTATTCCATGCTGAAAAAAAGAAGAAAGAAAACACAACGTTTCGGCTGTGGAACCTTCTTCAGGTGGCAATATTATAACAGTGTTTCTTGCAAGGTGTGGATGTGACAGTTAAGCCAGGGATGCTCTACTCCCAGACTTCCTTCCTATTGAATATTCATGGGATGATCTGGAAGCACATGTGTCATCAAGGTCACCAAAGGCTCAGTGACCACTGAACAGGCGCTTGTCTGCTTATCTGTCAGACTATAGAAGAGGAATGGGACAAAATTTCCAAGCACAGCATGTCATGCATCAAAGAGTGTACAGCTTGTATTGAATCCAACCAGGACACATGTGCTATGAGCCCGAGATTTTCATGGTTAATCTCTTATTGATCAAACCTGTTGATGGCAAATGTTAATTGACACGAGGAATTTAAATTTAGTATGTTCATGTTTTTTCATTATCATTATTTCCATCTTCTTAAAATCTAAGCGTTATTGAAGACACAATAGTATTTTAAATACTACTAGCCTCCACATAATACTGTACATTACTGAGTTACCTGTATGTGTATGTGAAAGAAAGGCAACATTGAATGCCACATCATAATGAGAGGTAATGTTTTTTAGTTATTAAAATGATTTCTGAAAGCTTCCTTCCTTTTGAATTCTTGAGCTTGTCGCAATGACGTTTCTTTTTCCTGCATGTCAAGAAGAAGCTGTTCAGAGATTCAAACATCATGAATTTTGCTGTACACTTTTATAGTGTGATTAAATAAGGCATCATAATGTGTTAAGTAGACTAAGCTTTTGCACAGTACCTGTGAAGATACAAAAGTTTAACTTTAACATTTCAGTTTTATGTTTTCGTAAACCACTCCATTATTGTAAATGGATACCTTCATGCATTGCGATAATAGCATTAGAAAAAACATCCATTTATGGGGACAGTCTTAGCCACAAGCAAGTAAGTATACTGAATTGGTAATAAAACACTTTCCTAATCCAGTTTCATTATTCAAACCCCGACTCCAGAAACATACAAGTTCTTTATGGTTATTACTGCTTAGTTTTCAGTATAAATAATTATAATAACGTATAGTGTCACATGTGTCATAGTGACTGAAGATGAATGTGGTTTGATTTTAAATCTGTCATGTAGATAATTCTAAATTTTGTCATGTTTATACACAGTATATTTAATATGTGTCAGTAAAGCTGTTTTGTATGTAACTACATTATTTCTAATAAAATGTCCTAAATAATTTAAATGTGTGCATTTAGTATAGAAATTGTTAATGTTAGGTATCCATGTTCGCATAATAATAAAAAAACAATTAAATAAATAATAATAATTTAACTAAGCATACAGGATATAAAATGATAAAATAATGTTTTGCAAAACAATAATATGTTTATGCATTTATCAAAATATTTTTTAAACAGACACTCATTTTTCGGTTTTATTTTTTCTTTGAATGTGGAAGTATCCGATGTTCTTGGAAAAGGACAATTGTATTTATTTTTTGCGTGATATTTCGAGACAGAGAATATTACTGTCTATGTGGACTGACACAGACCATAGCTGCAGCTGTTAAGATCGTGTATGAGCACCGATCAGCTACAGTACATTTGCCTGGGTTACATCAAAGTGAGCCCTTCTGTCCTGTAACAAAGTTTGTATCAAAACAAGTGAAAGTTCTGAATTAATCAGTTAACTCTTTTTATCTTCCATGTCTACTTGATCTTATTTAGCTTTCCTCAAATGTACAGCAAATGATATTTGGGCAGCTTTATTCATTGTACTGGAACCTACAATGTCAGTCACGCTTTGATTGAAATGTGATAGATTTTTTTAATATTCCTTTCATAACTTCCATTTAATAAATGAAAATGTATAATAATCTTTATCAGTGGATTCATGTGAATCATAATTTGTTGCAGAACTACTACGGAGCTGCTAAGACTATTTTCTCTGACAACCCCCTTGGACTGACATGCGGAATGGTGTGTCCAACCTCTGACCTGTGTGTGGGAGGCTGCAATTTATATGCATCGGAGGAGGGACCAATTAACATCGGTGGACTGCAACAGTTTGCCACAGAGGTATACAGTACAAGTTATTAGCAATACCTGCCTACAGAGAGACCCCTTACATCTTTCATATAATTGAATGTTGTTCTGTTTTCTTTAAAAAATATAGTTGTTTTATCTTAATGTTAACTCCTTGCAATCTGGATACGAATGTGAATTTGCTTAATGTCCGTACACATTAAAGTGGTTTTCCAATTTCTTTGCTGGTATTGTGCAGTGCTAGTGTCACTGGACATTGTAAATGCTGAAGCCTAACAAAATGCAGAACTAATTAAGACACTTTGTGTACCTCCAAATTATATTAGGTAATGAAAGCCCATAGTTAATACATGAATTGTATAGAGATATTGTATGGAGATAGTCCTTTTCTAAAGAAGAGAGTGGTATAGTAAGACATGGGAGGGAGTTGTCACTGAGAGAGAACAGTCAGTCTACAAGTTGTAATCTATAAGACAAGATAAGATCACCTAATTAGCCCTGTACAATTTCTTGCATTAGGAATTTGTCTTTTCGCATACCCCATCTTGCTGTCCATGAGACACACACACACATAGATAGGGAGAGAGTAACTTGGGGTCAGAGCGCAGGGTCAGCCATTGTACAGTGCCCCTGGAGCAGTTGGGGTTAAGGGCCTTGCTCAGGGGCCCAACGGAGTAGGATTCCTCTGCTGGCCACAGGATTCAAACTGGCAACCTCCCAGCCACAGGGGCAGATCCTTAGCCACAGAGCCACCGCTCCGCCCCGATTGTTGGCAACTGCCCGTTAAAGTATGACATATCTGGATTCATTAAATTCTCATAGTCATTTTTTTGGCAAACTTACAATCCTGCCAAAATACGTTTAATGTTACTTTTACATAGTTTTAAATTCCAGTTTTTCACACACCTGAGAACATCTAAATCGAGTGAAGAGCAATCCCAATTTTGTTGGTATGGACGGCAGCTATATTTTATTCAATCTGTCACTGGTAAATTCCTCATCTGTGTTACATTCACATAACACTTCACTAAACTCTGTACTGCCCTTTTCTAATATCAACATTGTATTAATGGCATCTGTAAACTCTTTGTTATGGCAGCTGCTCTGTCTTTGACACGTGGTATCTGTCAGACTTTACCATTAAAGTAATAATTCTAGGATATTTTATTGTACATCCAGTCTCCTGCAATGATAAATGTCAAATTCGCCATCAGAAATACAGGCCTACATAAGAGAAAAAAAAGGTTTGACTTATAGGAGATGTCAAAATCATGAAAGATTGCTAAATGTAAGTATTTTTTTAAACCAAAAGAATTAGAAATCTTTCATGTCTAATACACGAGATTTAATGGAAAAAAACAACAACATTTGATCTTATTCACAAAATCATTAAAAACTTCTAATATGTATTTCAAAAAAACCCATACAATGTAGATTAATATATTTATGCTAAGCAGATTTACCTAGAGATTTACGTGATGTGCAGTATGTTTTTCCAGTGCCAGAAGGGTTATAATAATGACAGATCTGTGCTACTTTATGCATTATTGTTTTAGTATCTGTAGTGGTTTTTCCCCCTTTCTATAAAATGCTTTAGGGTACATGTGCTACTTTGGCATAGAAGTGACCATGATTTTTGGTCTCATAGTTTCCATTATCTTTTCAATTTAATTTGACTCATGTTACTCATTAAAATTAAACACATTATAGGAGCTTGCATTGCTGTCTTTGACCTGTTATGATATGGATATATTTTCTGGACTTAACTGAGATTTTTTTACAGCTTTAAAATAAACAAAGTTTTAAGGTGTCTCAAATGTGTGATTTTCAACCTCAGATGTAAGCTGACTGATATTTTTTGTAGTTTGCTTCTTCTCTGGTTGAGTTTAACCCTGGCCTGGATCAACTCTTTTAATAATGACAGTGTTATTTATTCTGAATACCAATCAGCCCTTGGTCTCTCTGTTTTTAGCGAGCGTCTCCACTTGAATTTATGTCAGGTCTGATGTGCTAACCATTCTCCACTCAATTACTGTCACTTTTTTTGCTTACTTTTGATAACAGTAAAACATCTAAAATATTATTACACGTTAAAACAGCAATAGATATTTGTAGGATCAAAAAGATGGAAAATAAAGAGAATGTGGGAGTGAAGGAAGAAAGGTAGAGGAAGAAGTCTTCAGTGCACTTTGTGACAACAGCCAGGGAAGGAACTGTCAAATTAATGTCATTAAATACAGTTTTCGGTCAACTGATCACCCAGTCCAAATTTGGAGAACTTGTTAAGGGGTTAGAAATTTAGAGCAGCTTTGATTCTCTTTGTATTAATTTGTATTGATCAAATTTGTTTATTACCCGCAATACAGTTCCTCTTATTTGATTTTCTCAGTAGTTATTTCAGCGGTTTAATGTGAGTGTTTATGTGAGGATGCATCTTTTGAAGACTGCATGAACTTGGAGGATATGAGAATGGTTCAAGGAGACAAAGCTTGCACAGGAGCCATGCTTTTCTAGATGTCATTGACGTGTGACTGTGCTGAGTTTCTACCTGGAACCTCACTGCAAATATAAAACACATCTTGTCCATACCATTGAAATTCCACCTTCTTTTTTGTTTAAAGAGTCTTAAAACCATTTTAAACGTTCATTTTCAAATGCTATGAAGCCTTTCCTCATGCATTTTTTATTGATTTAAAGGGTTCAATATGAAGATAAGGGACCTATAGTTGCAATATTTTTAATAATCTGTTCTGCCTCCAAAAGTATGTATCATTTGAATGAATGCTGTCCTCACCTGCAGGCTTCTGTATATACAGTAACTTCATGAAGCTGGAGTGTTTAAGCTCATTGCCAGCTTTAGCATTGTTAGAATCTTTTATTTTAATACACATTTAAAAAACACAGGTATTAAACTCGGCAACAGCAGCTCAAACAAAGAAATAATTGTGAGTGGTCCAACATGAAATCCTAGAATATTTTACTGTTTCACACTGCAATAGATACTGTAGAAAGAATATATTACAACGTGAATAGTAAATATTCAAAACATGGATATTAGGTACCGTTCATTTACAGTACAGTATTCTGCTGTCAGGTCATCATCAGTGGTTAGATGATTTACAAATGATTGTGTTACATGCATCGTAGTGTACTACTGTGATGATAAAATCAGTGCAATTGTTTTCCTCCTCAACATTGTTTGTAATCATTGCTTGACCTGATTGCTTCTGCTTTTTTATTTTTCTTTGAATACTAATGCCCTTCATTAATACTTTGGCGTTTTCATAAAAATAAGATTTCACAAGTTATTTTTCTTTGAACATTTCCACTTATTTAATTTTCTGTTAATAAGCTCAGCTTCTCTTTAACAATTCAAGCTCCAGTGCACACAGTAGAGTTAGCACTACGTGTGGAGAAAAGATGGGGCTCTCAGTGACAGCAGTGCAGGACAATGGGTGTTTTAAAAGTTACCGAGGTGTCTGTGTTGCATAGATATCATGGCCAACCAATGTCACAAAAGTCCAGCATTTCCAGTCAATTTGATGTTCCGATTAAAGACAATTTCTATAACAGTCAGCTAATTACACAGAAGAAACTTAAAATTAGAGTCTAAAATATACTGTATAGAATTCAACCTATAGAAATGCATTTACTAATACGCAATGAAATTAATACAGAGTAGTATATTTCAGCAAATTTCCACAATTTATAAATTCAGAACACATTTATGTACTATTCTTTATTTATACTCATTTACCTGATCCTCTTCTGCTTTGTACTGTATCATAATTTTTTACACTCTCCTGTTCCATTACTGTTCAAAGGATGAAAGGAACAATGACAAAAGCAGTTCTTTTTTCCTGCTCCCCATTGTTGCTGTGACTTATTATACATTTCTGGCTACATTGCAGCTCCTGTTTCCTTAAATGTGAAAGGTCATTGTGTTTATCAGGCTGATAATTAGATAGCCCCAGGAGTGGAGAGCTATGAGAATCCAGCTTCAGTTACTGTTACTGTCTTAGCCGGTTTAGAAACAGTGATAAAGTTATTCATTCTTTTGAAACAGTGAGACGTATGGTATTTCCTTTTAGCGCTAATCAGTTGCTGACTGAAGGAAGCCACAGGTAAGTATAAGTGCCTTTGACAGTCTGTCTTACCTTGTTTTCTAATCCAAACACAGAACCTCTCAGTTATTCACACAGAACATTAAGCCAGAGTAGGTTTAGTCTTTGCACCCAAAGTTTTAGATTTTAGAAATAACATGCGTTATTGTTTTATTAATTAATGAAATAATTATTTTCTGTATGTACATCCACTTCCCTCTTTGTAATAAATGTAGTTGCAGCACTACGACCACCTTTCCACATTATAGTACTTAATGATGTTGATGTCTGGGCAAAGGTGAAAATGTACAGATCAAAGGTTAAAGCACTGGTCAACTTTACAATGCTCAAACCAAGCAGTGAAATGCTGCATTAGTGCTGCATGTTCTAGCCAAAATGCCTACTGAGGCATCAGCAATAGATTGGGTTTAGATTAATTAAAGATATTTTTTGTTCAGATTTAAATTAAGCACACAAAAGTATACTAATTTATACCAAGCATGCATATACTTGCATGAATTAAATTGTGTACCAACAAGGATATTTCCATATTTAAATAATGTATTGAAAGACTGCTTGTGTGGGTAAATAATAATAAGTATAAACATGTTCAATATACAGTGTGGTGAATAAACCTGGCACATCAATGACCATCACTTGCTGATGTATTTTACAGATTTACAGATACACATACAGTATCAAACATAGGTTAATATACATTACAAACTAGAGAAGGCCATTTGGCCCATAGGTGTTTTCTACCCTTTTTTCCTTTAGGAAAACAAATATATTTTTGTCACTGTAAACTTTTGTTAGTACATCTTTAAAAATGAAAAAAATATATATTTATATGTTTCAAACTCACCCTTCCATTTCTAGATATTCAGCACAATGGGGATCCCTCAGATCAGAAATCCCAACCTGTCAGACAAAATGCATGAAAGCTTTCACACCAAGATAGCCTTGATTGGCTGTGGACCTGCCAGTATTAGCTGTGCTTCTTTTTTGGGGCGACTGGGCTATGATGACATCACCATATTTGAAAAACAGAAATACGTTGGTGGTTTAAGGTAAGCACATCCTGATCTGTACAGAACCTACAGGTCATTCATTTTTTTTCCACAGAAAAATAATTGTGTAATTTCTGAAATAGGAGCTTTGATCAGTGTTTTATTCAAATGACATTTTTCTGTATTAATTGTATAAGGAGTCCATTTCATCTGTACATTTGAAACGCAAGAAATGAATAAAACCCTTTCCATTTTTGCATGCATGGATGACCTTTGCTTCGCACAGACGTCATCTATAGGGATTATTATTAAAGCACTTGTAATTGAAAGACACTAAAGTATTTTCAGCTATATTCATGCCACATCTTTTCTGTCATGCATTGATATCATAGTCATCATAAGATCCTACTGTGACTTCAAAACAAGGACTGACATTACACACATTTAAGATATTCCTATTCTTATTATCAAAATTCTGTCATGAATGATGTCCTTCATAGCAGTAACTGCCAAAGGATTACCTTGGTATATACATGTCATAAGGTGGAGATTCAGTGAATGCCATGAAATATATATTTTTTTTAATCTTGCTTATTTTGAGAGAATAGTGTTCACTAGAGTTCATTTAGCACTCTTGATTTATTTGTTTAGACAGGTATGAAATGTCACAAGTATTTGTTCATACTTGAGTGGACAGCAAATGGGAAAAAAAAGTCTTCGCTCAGGTGAAAGGAAATCTCTGCCTTTCTTCATTCTGAAAGTCAGGCACTAGCAGTCAGAATATTTCACCTGTCTTCATTTTTAAATGTAGAGCCGTTTGCTAAAAACTGATTTTTTTTTTCATTTCTCCTGACAGTCAATACAGAACAGTTTTGATTTTTCAGTTGCTTTCTTGTTGTGTGGTTAATTTTTAGGTTTGACATCATTACCAAACATAACAGGTGCATATTGATGTCTGTGTATATTTTTCTTTTAGGTTATTTAAAGAAAGCAAGCTAATCTTTGAATTTATGGTTTACTGCAGCTTTAAGTTTTAGGAGAGATTATCAGGTCATTGGCCATCATATCTCTGTGTTTGATAGGTGTCTGAGGCTGATATTTATAGCTGTCAATATTTATGGTGTAATCATGAGAGCATCTATTCTTTAGCTGTTGAAGGACTGTGTGCGTAACGCTTTGATATATCAATATAATTAATATTTAAGAAGGTCAATTATTATGGATAAATTGTGTTATAATTTCTCATACTTTTCCTTCAAAAAAGAATTGTATGATGCAGGTAGTTTTTTGTAACCATAATTCCTTATTTATACATTTCCTGTATATTTTGATAATTGATCAAAGAAATCAAGTTACAATGTTCCTTTGATATTATTCTGGTTATGAGCATTAAGGTAGAAGTACTGTTTAAAGAATAAAACATTTTTTTTTTGTCAATGGAAAGATAAAGAAGGAGATTTAATTAATGGATGAAAATTTGCTTTCATCTAGGCTATCAGACATTTCTTTAACACTGACGTCTGTCCGACAAGTTCCTGTTTTTTTTTCCTCTTCTGTCTGCAGCACTTCTGAGATCCCCCAGTTCCGACTGCCCTACAACGTGGTGCAATTTGAAATTGAGCTTATGAAGAACCTGGGTGTAAAGGTAATGAAATCCATGACCTGCCTTCTGAATGGAAGAATTAAGAATGAATTGGGGCTTAGAAAAGATTAACAGCAAAATGTCACACGCATTAATAAAGAACAATTAAAAGCTGCATTAGGAAAAGAGCAAGAAAGATGCTCCTTCTCGCTCTGGGCATTTGTCTGTCTGTTGTTTGAATGCCACTCTTCTGAGAAAGGGCAATCAATACTTCTCATCCGGCACACCTGCATGTGATTAATTTTGTGGGAAAAACAAATTCCTAACATTGCTTGGGGGGTTCTGCAGCGTACCAAAACCATACAAATTTCTTTTCCATTCCTTGTTATAGTGTTGTTTTAGGTTTATTCACTTTGAAAAATAAATTGTATTAAATTTCTTCCAATTAGTTTAATTCATAAAGAATGAGTTGAAGTAAATTGAAATAACATTGAATAAATTCACTTTATATCCATAGTTAATTATAAAAGTCTCACTCTAAACTGGATGTAGACTCATTGTGTGAACACAAAGTTTGTCAAGGTACAAGAGAGTTTTTTATCTCTTTTTTTTCCATAGGTAGTTTGTGAGAAAGGTCTTGGCTATGATCAAATGACGCTAAGCTCTTTAAAAGAAGAGGGATATGAAGCAGTCTTCATTGGAATGGGTCAGTTTTTATCTTCAAGGTTTGGTTAGAAAAAAACACCTGATTAAAATTGTATTGACTTCTGCATTTTAAAGTGATATAATTACCATTCGAAGAGTTCATTTCATTTACACGTGTTAGTTTATTATAATATGTATGTCAGCCCAGGTGTGTGTACAGACTAGTACTCTGTTGTTGTCAATTTTAACTTTTCTTGAGAATAATCTTTCTTAAACGGCTGAATACTTAGATACTCGTTATATACTTAGATACACTGGTACCATTTACAGTAGAGGCACAAGGTTATGTTCCATGACATGGGTTGATCCTTTCAGTAAGAGCAAATAGTACTGTATGTGTTTCACCTCTAAGTTGAAAGACACCAGTTAATGTTAATTTATGTTTATGTGCCTTCCAGAATACACATTTTTGAATACAACTTAATATAATCTTAAATCATTGGGGGGGTTCTGGCAAGTAAGAAAAAGTATTGTAATACTAACATACTGTATAGTATGTGCATGGAACGATTAACTGTCGCGAGCGGTGTGAAGAACCCTATGCAGGTCAGGTAGCGAACGAGTCCAGTAGGGCAAGGTGAAGATGGACTCCGGTGTGCAGGCAGGGTCATATCCATGAGGCAGTAAGAGAGTGTGATCAAATCCAGAGGGCGAGATGAAGACGTAGTTGGGTATGCAATCAGTGTCGTTCCCAGGAGGCTTGAAGAAGGGAATCGCAAGGTTTCAAAGGTAGGAGCTAGGAAAACAGAAGACTGTTTAATACCAAGCAGTGAAGTGAAGGTCGAGGAGGTTTACTCAGCAGGTGCGGTGGGAAGCGAGAGACGTGATAGGATGATTAGCTTGTGCGTTGTCGTTTTTGGGAATTGGATCAGGCTGGTGTCTGATTAACAGGGGTGGTGGGAATGCGCCGGCGTTTATCCGAATTATGCGGTTGATTATGTGAGAGTGTGATATTCTGTATTTGGACAGGTTAGTGCATAGTTTTTTAAAAGTTAGTTTTCCAGTTAGTATGTGCAGTATTTATAGAAAGGTCCAGGTATTTAATAGGTTCATAGATAACTGGTTTAAAATATTCCCACTGTGTCATTTCATAAAGTTCTCCTAATGGGAGCATTAAACAGGATAGGTATCTGACATTATAAAGAGTTTGGAATAGTTACCTTTTGAGAGGAGTGCTGTTCAGCCTGTCTTGTTCATCAGTTTTTAGTAGCTTAATGAGTCAAGAACTCCACCAAGACTCCTGTTGAGTGTTCCCAATTATTTTATATTTAGGATTCCTTTCAAGAGTTTAAAGCTGTTAAATAGGAAGACTGAAATTAAGCTTAGCTGATAGATGGAGCTACCTGTCTAGTTCCCAGTTCTGGAAAAGGAGAAAAATTAAGAGGTTGTATTATATCATATAAAATACTATTTTTGCAAAAGATACTGGTATGGGGTTATGAAACACTCAGATTCTGATTTGAAAGACATTTTATAGTTTTATGTTTTCTTTTAAAATTAAGTGATCAATTTATGGTTGTTATGCTTTTCATTATACTCATTTTTAAAAATCTGATGTACAAGTCTTTATTAACTTAGAATTCTGTTTGGAGACAGAGAGGTAAGGAACTTTATATTTGAGTAATATGACTTGGACTAAGCCATTCTATTTTTGAAAATGCAAGAAAAACCGTCACCATGTATTGATCTGAGAAATTCAAATATTCCTTGAAGGCAGCAGTGTGTTTTCTTTTACAATAATGGAAAAGAAGTCATATAATTTATCATGTTTAAATGTTCTAAGTCTTTTGGTACTGGCATCATAAATATGGAGAGCAGCCTAAAAGTGTTTGCTTTTAATTTCTGTGATTTGCAGGCTTTATAAATGTCATCCTCTGTAGTGATTGACATGCAAATTTCTTACTGGCATGCTCTAAATTTGAAGGCAGTTTGAAAAATGAAGATAAGGACATTGTTCTTGGCCTGTAAACTGAGAAAACAAGCTTCTAGGTTCAAATTAGTTAGAACCCCTTCAATGTTTACTTGATAGATAAAACTTTGAGGAGCAACCTTTAAGCCTGTGTTCTTTTTAAGTGACATACTGCAGTAACACTTGATGTGTTGATGAGCAACAACTGGAATGACTGCTATATTCTCTATGTTTCATTACTGAGGCATGTATTGGTCATTTATCCACTCAGCTAGTTGTGTTTTAGTAAGAAAAAAGTGTTTGGCTCATAGTTTACCCCACAAATAATGTTCTTGCTTCATGATCTCAAAGAATTAGACTTCTTAGTCCCATTTATTTCTTTACATATTTATTTGTTTGTATTATGGAAGTGTTAGGTTGGTATCATAATCCATACAATATTTTATTTGATGGAAGCTTTGTTGCTTACAAATTAGGTGGGATGTATCAATTTTACCTGGAGCCTTATAAAGGAAACACATTAATCTGTGTCTTTGAACTGAACAAGCCTTTGATATAAAAAGAAACAAGCATAAATAACAAAAAAACACAAATCAATAGACAGTAGGGTGTTAAAAGGTCTTTGTTTTAAAGAGAGGTTAATTTGTGAGAAAGACTTTCATATTTTTAATGTAAGTCTGTTTTAATTAGTTATTATCTGTGCCTAGGATGGTGATCAATACTGTAACTGCACAGCATTTAGGGCAACATGTGTTTCAAGTTTGTTAACAGAAACAGAAAAAAGCAAATTTGACTTGTATAACAAAAAATGCAGTTTCTTTCATTTCTACTGTAACTTGTAGTAAGTACCAATGCAAACACCACAGTACAGTGTATCTATTTTGCTATGCAGTTATTTAAACAACAATATTATTGACTTTTTTAGGTTTACTAGTTTTTACTTTTTCCCTTTAAAATAATCTTGTGACAGAAAGTGTTACATTTCTTATTACAGGAATGTACTCAACCAATTTCATTTTAATATACATTTTTTAACGAGAATAAGACTGCTTTTAAAGTTCAGATTCCAGAAATCTGAAAGGGTTAGAAATCAATTGGTCTCCATTATTCTTATTTTTTAATGTACTAGTAGACATAAATGTATCACATTACAATAGCACTTTTAGACAAAATGAAAGCTGTGAAATGTAACATTAAAGAATCGAGTCTCATGTTGCTTATTACATTTCATGATATTGGCTTGACTTTAATGATATTCACTGATACTAGCTCCAGGAAACCTGGATACTCTTAAATGGAAATAGTCCCAGTCTGTATTGTGAAATCTTTAAAGAGATTTTGTAAGTGATACTCTGTATATCAGTTTTGTTGCAATAATTTTATACTGGCAGTACTTCAGAAACCTTTACCCTGTGTTGAACTGCAATACAGAAAATATTTAAATATTCAATTTAGTGTTTCTCAGTCTTATAAATGCAGTGATAGATGTTGTGAGATACATAAAAACAACAACAGCAATTAAGTATTTAGGAGGCAAACAGTACATAGTAGTGTATAGATGATTATCATAAGTTAATAGGTACCCAGAACTGAAAGAACATATTCCTAGTAAGTGCAATATTTATTGGTGTATGCCCGCATATTAGCATGTTCAAAGGAATGCATTATCCAATACGAAAAGATGTGTTAATAAATAATAAATTAATGTTTTTTTGAAGAGCTACAGTATTTATGACAAGTTTTGGATTAACCCAAAATTAGCTAGTTGAAGGCCAGTCATCAGACTGTAGGACACAAAAGAACAATTGCGTGCAAGAAACAGGATTATCGTGGTGTCTCAGGAAGCAAAGTCAAGGAGATTTCTGAGTTAGCATAGCAGAGACAAAGGAGAGCATGTTTCCTGACATCCCTCCAAAATGTTCCATGATGTGTTTGAGAATCCTTGACTGTAGAGTGATACCCAAATGCTCCTACATGCTCCTGGAAGAGAACATTATTAAAGTACTGTAGCTTTATCAATTCGAGACAACCTATACATACTGGAATCTAGGAGGTTCATGTCCAGTGGTGTTGTAAGGCTTACTCTCCATAAACAGTACGAAGTATAATACTGCACTCTTTCAAAAGATGCTCATTGTTATGGGACACATTCCTGACTTACTGTACACTGTGTCACAATAATAAATCAACAGTATTTCCCATTATTATCTGTTCTTCACTGCAATCTCAAGATTCATATAGTAATTCACTAATTCTGCATAGTTTCAAATAATGTAAATTGTAATCCCCAAATTCACTAATATTTAAGAAGAAAATCAGTCTCTGAACAGAGAAAGCACCCTTCTTTTTGACTCCCTAATATGTATACCATGAGTTGTTTTACTGTACAGTATGTGTCTCTACAGTCCTTGTTTTAGTCTCTGTTATGTTGTCTTTGGGCTTCAAGGATTTTCATGAACAGTTATGTCCTACTAATGTCCCAGAACTAAGTCTGCAGTGCGGCCCTTTCAAAGTTAATCAGTTTTGATGAACCTCTTTGTTGTGGCATGCTGATGTAATGAGAGTGGATGTAATGTTACCTGTTCTTACATCAAGCAGTCATGTAACTGCTATGGCCTTTTTAAAGCACAGCAGGTGGCTATTTACTGTCTGTCCTCTGTGTTCCTGAGGTCTCACAAAAATGTCTTTAAGAGGGATTTTATTTTAGATTGTTGACTGTGTGAAAGGCAAACACTGTTCATTATTTTTATTTACAGTATATTGAAGTCATTATATTTTTCTGTTTTACTTTGAAAGTTATCTGACTATATGTTTATATAATTTACAGTTAGACATACAGATAAAAAGGTCTCTGTGGAAACGAGAAATACTGATTGAAGAGATGCAAAAGTCACTATGTATTTACAGTGTCTAATAATATTCCAAAGTGAGACTCTGTGTTATTCTAGTAAGTTTAATGAGTATCCTTCTTTCTATTGAAAAGAGCAATTATCACTATTGGAGCCTTTATGTTCAGTCATATTATATATAGTGTGCTTATACTGTACATACTTTAACAATATACCCTTTATGCCTTTTCATCTCTGTGCAAT